CACGACCCGAGGCTGTACCGCTGTAGCATCACCGCCCCGTGCCAATGGGTGACGCCGTTCCCCCAAAAGGAAAGTTCCCTTGCGCAGAGAGCGAGCGTCGGATATTGAGGTTGAGGTTTTGTGCCCGGATCATCTTGTGCTGCGCGACAACGGCGTCTGCTACGCGGCCGGCTGTATCGAGACCTGTGTCACTCAGGGCTGCCGCCGGAACTGCAACGTCTGACGAGGTCAGGGCAGAGAAAAAAGGATCAAGCAGATTACCCCCCGTAGCGGTCAGATTAGCGAGGCGACTGTACTGCAACACCGGTAGCGCCACAGCATTTGGTGTAGCCGTCGCGCCTGTGACACGCGGTGGTATCGTCGGATCGATCCGAAGCGATGGACCACGCAGCGTCGTCAACACAGCCACTGTCTCGAGCGTTTCGTTGCATCCCATGGCGGATACAGACGACACAGTCGATGATGGCGAGCTGGGGTTATCGAGTTGCCCCCAGATGTAAAGAAAGTCAGAGCATTGCGCACGGTTGTCTCGACGGGACGTAGCTCGACCAAAGAGGGCCGTCGGACCGGAAGCCCCTGGAATCGCCGGGAACTGGGCGTTGCTTGTTTGCTGTCCAGAGTTGCCCACCCGGCAAGGCTCCGCGTCGACGTTGATGAAGAGGTTGTCGATTGTCATGTTGGTCGATATCTCGGACTGCGGGTACAGACGGCACTGCAGGTTAGGCCGAAGTGCTGGAATGGTTGCTTCGATAGCAATGTCCTGAAGCTCGCGGTAATCGTTGGGTAACGCACCCTGCAGCTGCATTGCCGGAAAGTTCAAGTCGTTGAACGTGAAGGCAGGAAACGAGGCATTAGCGTTCAGAATCAGGGATGACAGCACCGCGTCACTATCGGCGGGTGGCAAAGAGTCAGGGTCAAGCCCTGCAGGAAGGACAGTCGTGTTGGCAAAAAAGTCTGCACTCTGGAGGACAACATTCCGAGCGTCCCACATTGGCACCGGTGTGAAGAGGGCACCAGAAAAGATGACGACCAGCGTAGCGAAGAAAGCCGTGATGCTCGTGATGAGCACAGAAGGGTTGCCGGTTCGCAGCGCAGACCAGATGACGCGAGGCTTCGATTTGTTGAGAAAGTCAAGACCCACGGTAGTACTCAGCTCACCGCCGCCCCTGAGCTTTGCAAATGGCGCCAGGCTTCGAGTGGCAAAGTCGGCAGCGCTGTGGTAAAGAGCGAGGCCCAGCAGCAGCAGGGCGGGACCTGACGTCCACAGGAAATGCAGGTAATCGATGTCGCTGACGCCTGCGATGCCCTGGTTACGACGAGATGCTCGCAAGGCCACTTCCAAGCTCGCGATCATGCCGCCAAGCACGGCAATCACAGCTCCTCTTGTCCAAAGCTGTAATGACAAGGGCCGTTTCCATTGCCCGGTGTGCTGAAAGTACAGCGGTGCATCCAGTGGTGGAGGAAACCCGCCCAAGATCTTGAAATACCCAGAGCTGGTGCTCGTCGTCTTCTCATAAGGCTCCACGCCGAGGCGGTAGGTCGACCCTTCAAGTCGATCGTGAATGGTGGTCTCATCAGCGGCGCCGGTTCCTCGTAGGCACTGCAGCAGCGGTCGGCTGTGTGCCAGTAAAGTCGCCATGTCCAGAATTGTGCTGGGATCTCGGGGCAGAAATCCGAGTCTGGGTACCATGTCGACGGCCAGCAGGCACACAAGGACAATGACGCCAAAAAGGGCGGCCATGAGGTGTGTGGGCACAGTACGAACCAGCAGTCGCTCCCCTACGAGCACTGCTCTGCCGACAGTTTGCTGCCTAGCCCCGGCCATAATCTCATTCCTCGCGAGGAGTGCCGAAAACTGCGTCCAGTATGCAGATGCTAGACGATCAAGGGTTGCAGTGTCCAGAAAATTTCCTAGCTGCGGCACCCCATTCGCCTTGACCTCCATGGCCATCATGACGTCGATGATGCCATCCGAATCAATGACGACTTGGTCGGGGTTGTCGTAGTATTTGTCGGTGGCACGAACAGAGCCGTTCAGTGTTGCTTCGTCGTATAATTCGAATTGTGCCCGGGCAAAGTCCCACGGATGAATGGTATTGAGAGTCCGAGGTTGCGTGCTGTTGAGTCGTCTGATTGAAAGCAAATCTGTCCCATTTTTCACCACCTCCACCGGCCCAAGATCATATGTAGGTCGACAGATCACCGCAGCCGACTGCGGCAGGGCGCCTCGCAGGGGAACATCCCTTGCGTTGGGATTGCGAGGGAACGACGCCGGATCTATGGTAACGGTGCCCACCATGATGACAAACCGCTGGTCGTCGTTTGCCTGTGTGCTGCCGCAGTCACCCCCTTGGAAAGCCATGAACACCCGGGGTGTCAGCGCTGAGGCATTGCTCGAGAGAAGGTTGTTCATGATGCTCTGTGTTGTCCTGCAGGATGGTGCCGCAACCGTGACGTCAAGTCGTGTCGTCGATCCTTGCAGCAGCTGAACGCTGCTGAGAGTTGTTTGAGCCGGCTCGCAATCGAGGCGTCCTTGGAAGCCCTCAACCGTCGCCCGAAGCTCGGCAGTGGCTGGCAGGTTGGCATCGAATGACTGAAAAGCGAAGTCTCTCGACGTGCCGTCTGGGAAAGTGAGGTCGGTCGTTTGCAACCCCAGCATTGTGAAAAGCGGAATCGAGCTGGGGTTTTGTAACCGGACACGTTGTCAACAAAGGCACGTTGGCCGCAATGCTCGCAAGATGGTCTTCTACATTGGTCCGTACAGGTGTCACAAGCGCAACTGAGAAGACGATCAGGAGCTTGAAGACCAGGCCGGCCAGTGTAATAGCAACAACGAGCCAGTCCCGGTTCCGAACTGCCCTGAATATGGCCTGAGGTGCCACCATCGATGTGTAGTCCAGCGTCAATGTCCGGACGTCGCTCGGCCCACGGGACAGGCGAATCCAGGGCGCACTTGCCTTGGCCTGGTACTCAACCCGCGTCCAGATGGCCGCGACGAGGGTGACGACGGCAGGCGGAGCATACTGACATGCGTAACAAAGTAGTCGCGTGGGAGCCCTACGCCTGTATTAAGGGATGAGATGACTAAAAAGGGCCTTAATGACGGCAATCAAGCCGGCCAAGAGAAGCGCAAACGACAAGAGAACCCTTCGTTTGAGATATGGCGGTCGCCACGGCAGGTTGACGTCCACTAGGGGTTCGCTTGGTGCTGGGTCTGTACTGGGCGTCTCGAGCAGGCCACGACGCGAGGCGGGCGAAGCGAGTCGAACCCGTCTTGCGCGTGAGTTGATGGGAGTGCCTTGGGTCGTCTGGTCGGAGACGGGGGCGAAGTCGGAAGTCGAAATGGTTGGCGAGTCAGCCTTTGCAGAGGATGGTCGCTTTATGTTACTTTCTTGGCTAGACGATGGAGTGTGTCCCGTTGGATGTGGTGTGCTGAAGGAGCCGAAGCGTGCTGTATATGGCCGCTCAACTCTGTCAGCGCCGGAAAGTCGAGCTTTTGGGCGTTGTATGCGCAGAGGATCTGGCTTCAACCGGCTCTCCTGTACTATGTATTGGTGATAGGTATCGAGACCGGTCAGGGTCAGGCGTTGGCCTCCCCGCGGCACATTGGCCATGGCTCTCGCTGTGGCCATGTTGGAGGAGATTGGCGAGAGGCGACGTCGTAGCCGCGCAGCACGTGTTACCTAGCAATCGTCATGGCAGTAAATGCTGGTTGGAGAAGAGTTGGTAGGAGAGGCGATGAATAGGCAGTCGGCGGTTTTTGAGAGTATCACACTTTGTTGGTGAGAATACTGGATGCAAGTTGGTCGGTGATGGGAAGTCGCTGTCGAGGTTGGTCAAGAACCGGTTCGTCGTGGGTAGGTCGAAGCAAGTCACGGAAACGTGAGGCATGGGAGGAGAGTCAAAATGGAAGACAAAAGCAGAGGACAAGCAAGCACAGGCGCGCAAAAGGAAAACAACAAGCAGAAGTCAGTCCGTGATGATGCCATGTTTGTCAACGCTCGAGCACTGGCGCATTGTCCGTGCCACTATCCATGGAAAGGGAAGCCTAGCAACAACCGTGCTGCTGCCGTTCCCAGCTGGACGTCCTACCCCTTTGGACCAGGGGTCGACTCGGAGGAGGTGCCCATCACCGCAAGGAGAAAGCCCATCGCCGCAGGGAGAGGGTTCATCGCAGCAAGGGGAAGGCCCATCGCCACAAGGAGAGGGGGTGGGTGTTACAAGGCGGAAGAGCTGTCTGTCGAGCGATCCAGCAGCGAGGTCGATTGACTGCACATGGCCGAACAGAGGTGGGATCTTGCAGGGGTGTTGGTGAAACAAACACGGCGAGCGGTTGAGCAGGGGTTCCGTGAAACCCCAGGCGGTGGCTGCGTGTGTAAGACCACCTCAGGGTTGTCTGGGCTGTCAGGAGTCGTGTCGCAGACCCTGGCTTGCCGTGCGGGAGAATCAGGTGGTCCGGGCAGACAGGCGTTCTGCAACTAGCTGTCGGTCGGGATGGATGTCAAGGTAGTAGGGTCGATTTCCACTGTGGCGAGCATCATCGTGGATGATGTGTGATCGATCTCGTTTTGTGTATCGATTTGTAGGTCGGCACAGTAGATGAACGTTGAGATAATATGTGACAGAAGGAAGACGGATGGATGATGGTCTGGGTGAGGAATTGGCGAAGACTCGACAGGCATGCCCCTAACGGTCGCCTCAGCGCAGTTTGGGTCGCTCTTGCCTCGTCAGGATCTCATGGCGCCTTCTCCCAGCGCGCTTGCCCTTGCCCTTTGACGTAAACGCTGTACCTGCCACCCGTTGTTTTTGCCTCACGATGACCCATCATCAACACCACACAGCACCACACCTACCTACGTAGGTACCTAGGTACGCATGGATGAACCACGAACTGACCACCCTCGCGTGTTGCCAGGCCATTCAATCTGGCCACCAGAGCCGAGGCCGAACCATCCGATTTCCAATCTCTCCCTCCATGAAGCAGCCATCACCTTCCTGCGCGGGGTCGGCCCGGCCACCGTTCATGCGCGTCACGAACACCCTGTAGTCTTCCCTCACCCAAGGCCCAGCCGCAGATCCATTTGATCGTCCCAGGGACCACTTGGGCCTCCTTCCGGCAAGTGCACGATGCGAGATGCCGGCCTCACCTTGGAACAGCCTACGTGTGGGGGGCTCCAAAGCACTTTGAAAATCCACGTGTCGCTGTTGAACCCGGCGTCCCTCCATCTCACCTGGTCCCCGTCACACACGGCGCGTTGTTTCCCTGGCCGTCCCAAGTCGTGTACTGACAAATCTGTTTTCTTGTTTGTGCCCGCTACCTGACACAGGGTATCCCGTGATGCGAAACCCGGTGTAATCGGCCTCACTGGCCACGCTCTCGAAAGGCTATGCCCATGCCCAAAGTTGGCCCCAAAGGCCTCATATTCATATCATGTCCCATGTCAAAAACCTCCTCGTCATAGTAGGCCCATTCTGGCCGGGTCAACAGATATGCATAGCGCTGCAGCAGTCAACAGTTGCACTCACAGCCCACATGAAGTTGCTGTCGGAATCCTCACCGTGGCAGCACAATATGCTTTCAGCCTCTGCCCGGAGGGTTCTGCCCGGCCGGCCGCGCCGTCATTTTGTAGAGCCCGACACCTCGTCTCCAGCGTGGTCGTTGTAGTCTCTTCACGTCCCTGGCCGGGGTCTGTTCTGAAGAGGTATTTCGACGGCAGCGGAGACGGGTGGTCAAAAGGGCAGCCGAGCGTCGTAGTAAGGTGAACTGATATCATGATGAAAACCAGGATAGTACAAGCAATGCTGTGAACGTCAGGAATCCTACGAGAGAAGTCGAGCCACCGAAAGTTCGCGTGGACGTCTCCGATCTTAACAGCCGTGCGCGGAGAAACATGTTGCTGCATTCGAGTCCATAAAGCTGGCATCGTACGAGGTTGCATTGCAAGGTGATGAAGGTTACTTGAGGGTATAGCCTAAGTGCTGGCATGATTTTGTTTCATCCCGCATGATGATCTCGATAACGCTGACGCGATGCTAAATGCAACAGCCCTAGTGCTTGGGAAAGGCCGCTGACGGGGAGCAAACTGCGATGACAGTTCAAGCGCAATGCAGCCTGGGGTATATGGCCGAGCACGTACAGAGCAGGAGCGTCCGTCTACTCGTGCGTTCCGGTGCTGTTTCCCCCGCTTCATCGTAAGCCCCCATGTCTTCGTTGCCCTGTAGGAGTTCATGAGAAGTACCAGCTTCTCATCTCAACAGCGGTGTGGATTGGCGGCTCGAAATTAATGCTTGATTTCTTGTCTACCATGGCATGCATTGATCAACGACATTCTGCTCTTGATCCGCCCATCAATTCGTCTAGTTCTTGCCGGCGTCTTCCTTGAGCGACACAATCCTGTTGAGAACAATCTTGTCGTCTGTGGAGTCCGAGTCCATGGCCTACATCGAGTTAGCAGGTGCATTCAAAAGACAGCAGCGGCCCAAAACACTGGTCACTCACAAAGTAGGCGATGCGCATCGCCTGGAATCGCACGCTCTCAGGTCCGCCCTTGCCCAACTCGCTCTCGCCAGCAGCCTCGGGCCATGGCGCCCGCCGTCTGACCTCATCAAAACCGCTCTCGATCATGGCCTCGGGGTAGATGACTTCGCTGTCAGGGTTGATGTCATTCAGGAATCCGCCCTCGGCGTCCTCGGGCTTGTCACTCTTGAAGAGCGAGTTATGTACCCTGGCCTCTACGCGTCTTGAGCCCTCCGAGCCAACCCAGGTAATGTAGGCCTTGGGCTTCTTGGCCTCCTTGTCAAACACCGCACGGACCTCGGTAACCTTGCCGGTAGCCTCGTCCTTGGTGAATGACGTCGCTTTGATGGGGTGAGGCGCGTTCATGAGACCGACCGTTTTGCCGGGGGCGAGACGGAAGTAGTCCTTGCTGTCGACTTCACGGAAGTCGGAGCGGTCGATGTAGATGGTTGATGTGAACTTGACGGTGTGTGAGGTCATCTTGGGGTCTTTGGGTGAGAACGGCAGGTCCAGCTCGATACTCTCCGTAGCATCCTCGATGACGACCGGAATGGGGTCAAGGACCATCATGAGACGTGGAACTGGGGTCGTTAGGTAGGTGGTTCCAAGGGCCAATAAATAAAGAATCCTTACCGGTAGCTTCAAGATACTTGCGGATGGATTGCTCAAAGCGCTTGATCTGGATGAGCGTTTCAGCCGTAGTGACGCCAAGCTCGTTCACGAATTGCAGGATAGCCGCCGGCGGCACACCTCTCCTCTTGACGGCAACCAGGGTGAAAAGCCTGGGGTCGTCCCAGTTACGAACAAACTTCTCCTCGACAAGCTTCTGGATCTTCCGCTTGCTGAGTACGGTACCAGCAATGTTGAGGCGACCATACTCGCGCTGCATAGGCTGGTGTTCGACAAGCGCCGCGTTGAGCCACTCGTAACTTTGACGCGAGAGCAAGAATTCGCGTGTGCAGAGTGAGTGGCTAATCGAATCAGCCAAGAGCTAAAGATATGGACAGAGAAAACAAACCTAATGTTTTCCATGCTATCGACCAAGCAATGCGTGAAATCGTACCTAAGAGTGTTAATCGTCATGGTTCGCCAGCAGCTGAGACACTTACGTTGGGTAGATCTTCCATTGGTTCCCAGTCCTGAAATGCTCCTGCTCCTTGGGAATTCTGTATGCCGCAAGATCCCACATTTGAGGCTTCATAGATTAGTATGAGAGCATGTAGATAAACCTTTCAGTTGACTCACATTGTTATCGGTGATATCTTGCTTCATCCTGAGGAAGGCCTCCTTCGGCTGATATTGGCCGTCGCGCATGCCTCTGAATTTGGTCAAATTGTCTTCTACAGTCTGTTCGGCATGCTTGCAACGGTATCGCGGCGAGGATCCCTTCTCGCCACCTCGCTGAAGCTTGATCTCAGTATCGGGACAGAAGCAGACATAGGCCTTCTCGAGGTTGATCATCTTCTCAGCAAGATCATAGAGCTGCTGGAAGTAGTCGCTCGAATGCGTGATCTTGGCAGGTGTGAATCCAAGCCAAGTGACCATATCCTTGATAGCCGTGAAGTATTTTTCCTCCTCTTTCTCGGGGTTCGTATCGTCGTATCGCAAAAGACTGTAGACCACCGATTAGTCGTGCGCGGTCGAGAACTTTGTAGAGCACTGACCATTGTCCGCCGTGGTACTTGGCAAAGCCAAAGTTGACCGCGATAGCCTTTGCGTGTCCAATATGGAGGAAGCCGTTGGGTTCAGGAGGGAATCGCGTAACGACGGGCTTCACGGGACGCTCCTTGTAGACCTCCTCTAGGAAGCCCTGCTTGAAAATGGCCTCGGGGTCGATGACAGCCTCTTCCTCCTTTTTCGCAGGCTTGGGGGCTTCCTTCTTGTCAACGCCAGCCGCAGAGGCAACAGCTGCTTTCGCTTCCTTTGCCTTCGCGGCGGCGGCCTTCTTTGCGCGCTTGGCCTGGCGTTTCTTCAGCTCGCCCTTGCTGACCATCTCGCCTGTCTCCTCATCGAGCTGGAGCTTCGCCGTCGACTCGGTGATAGCGTCCGCCATGATGATGTCGAAGTCAGATTGATCTTCTAGTTGGTCACGGGTATGTGTATTGTCGTATCGGTATGCTTCGCTGTCTGCGCCAAGCTCAATTCGGGTTCACAATGTTGGGTGAACAATGGCAGGTTCAACGAAGCGCGGGGCACAAATTGAGTCACGATAACTGAGGCTGATTGACGAGGGGTCGCGATAAGGACTGGGCTTGAAGATTAGATAAGCCCAACTCTGATCTAGAGGCCAGTTTAGAGCTCGTCGACCCATAGTGCCGTCCAGCCACTTGTACCGCAGCTTCGAGTTGAGCGAGTGATCTCGATAGAAGGGGTTTCCTTTCTTTTGGAAGCTTTCCAAACTTGCTCCCGATTGATGGGGGGCGCAAATCTTGAACGAGGACCTTGGGAGGTAGGATGTGCTTCACAGCACCTTGCCGCCTAAAGGATCATGGCCCCGCCCCCACCAAAGCCAGTGCTGAAGCTCCCCTGGTTGGCATTTCGTCATGGTCATACCAGCCTCGAAGGACTGCTGCCTTCCCGGTTGCGACAGCTTTTCTGCATCTTTGCAGCAGCCTCCCTTCTCCAACTACCGAACTTGAGTCGACCGAAGATAAAACTCCAGCTCACACATGAAAGCGCGCTCGATTGCGAACATGGCTTCCGACATTCCCTCCGTCGCCCTGCTCTACAAGCTTGGCAGCCTGAAGGCGCCCAAGAAGCCCCTGCGCCCCGCCAATGAATCATACAACCGCATCGTCGGCTCTATCCGTGGCGACATCACTCAGCTTTCCGTCGATGCCATCGTCAACGCCGCCAACGGTTCCCTACTTGGCGGCGGCGGTGTCGACGGCGCCATTCACCGCGGCGCCGGCCCCCAGCTCTTAGCTGAATGTCGCACCCTTGACGGCTGTGATACGGGCAAGGCCAAGATCACCGACGCTTACGAGCTGCCCTGCAAGAAGGTCATCCATACCGTCGGTCCGATCTATAACATTGAGGGTCCAGCTGCGGCGGAGAAACACCTGCGAGGGTGCTACGAGTCGAGCCTGGCCCTGGCAGTGGAGAACGGTTGCCGCAGCATCGCCTTCAGCTCCGTCAGTACCGGCGTCTACGGCTATCCCAGCCAAGAAGCTGCGCATACGGCTGTCGAGGTCACTCGAAGATTCCTTGAGGGTCCCGATGGAACTAAGCTGAGCAAAATTATCTTCTGTACCTTCGAGTTGAAGGACGTCCATGCCTACGACAAGGCGCTCCCGTAAGTGGTCCCCAGAAGGGGGATTCCGGTCCACTGACATGATTCATTCTCAGTAAATACTTTCCTCCAGAGGAACCCAATGCCAAAGTTAACACAGCAGAAGTGGAGGAAGCCAGGGAAGCCGAAGCAGTTGCCGCCGAGCTGCCTAGTGTTCCCAAGAGTGGACCTACAGGCCCTTAGGCTTGACTTTCGTTTCTTTAGCAATGCCAATATGAACATGGCTTCCGGTCGTTTGGTTACGGCACGGTATACGGGATGCTGCTGGATGCACCAGTAGCAAGGAGTTGGGAGTTTGAGTTTGAGGCCACGTTGATGAGCCTTCGGGTTCTTGATCTCAGCTGTGCAGTCATTCTCAATTGTGAGCCACCCGGCATCACTAACGATCAAAGAAAGACAAATCACTTCGATCCAATCGCAGGGTCACGAAAGTGCAACTTCTGGACGATGGTTGGTGTTACGCAAAGCGAGCGATGCCCGAACCCACCTTAACACTTCAACGCAATGGATACGGTTTCTTGCTGCCCTGTAGATCGATATGTGCTCCACAGAAGTTCTCTTGCGCACAACATCTACCCCGAAACCTCGTGCTAGCTAGTGATGCCACACAGACCGCTGGCCCAAATCACTTGCTTGGACGTACGTCTTGGCATGTAGAGTGCTGAGAGCTCATAGACACTTTGACAGCGACCACCTATGAGATCAACATAGTTCGCCTTCACAGCATTGTCGACCTGGCTTACAGATGGCTGTTGGAAGCTTGCTGGAATCACAGGAATCTCTGACATTGCAACCGCACATCAACTTGAACAAGCTTATCTTCAGCACCTCGCTTACAGGCTCTTGCGTATTAATCTGTATAAAACTGAGATTGTTGACTATGACTTGGTAGCCACGGCAGCTCAGACAGACGCTGTAAGCCCAATCTCGCCCTCGGCTGTTCTTTTGACGGGCATTTCACATTCATTAAATGTGCAAGGGATCAAAGTTACTTTGAAAGGTCTTTTAGAGTTGGCTTCGCCCATGGAGTTCAAAACCTGATGGTCCTATGCTTAGCCATCAGACATGATCGAGTCTTAGAAAGACACCAGGACTACTGAAAGGCTCCGACTGCCTTCTGCATCGCGAATTCCCCGTACTTAAACTCTCCTGACATGGCCTTCTTCAACAATTCAAGCCTCCACTCAATAACATCGCCTGACGAGCCGTTTACCAGCTCCTCCTCGAGCTTCTTCAGCCACGGCTGCCATTTGTCCGACCTCCCTTCCATGCAGTCCTTTTGAATCTTGTCAAAACCAGAATTAATGTCTGCGCAATATGACTCATCTATTTGGGCACTTTCTTCTCTCTGGAGGGCTTCATCAGATGCTTGTAAGTCCTCTTGTTGCCTTTCGGTTCGCGGTGTTCGACTGACGAGCAGTGCGATCGTCGCAGCGTTGTCAAAGTCGAAGATGCGGTAGTTGCTTTGGTTCGTGGAGTATCCCAAGCAACGCAGAATGGACTGTATCGCCCTGTTGTGCGAGACAATGTGGACCGCTCGAGACGACCTGTTGGTAGTATCATCGAAGATTTTGGCAAGTTCATGTTCGATCCGAATGTCGACATTTATGTAGGTCTCCGCAGTACGGAAAGCATCATCTTCGCCTGGCAGGTCGTCCTCGAGCTCCACAGACAGTTGCTTGAATTTTCTTAATTCCGAAAGTGTCTCGAGTATGTCACTTTTGTTGCCTCGTCCGTCCGACACATGGAGGTGTCCCGGGCCCATGAACTCGCGGAGGCCATCACGAGGGAAGAGCGTCAACGGCATATTCGCGGGAACATATCTGGCCGCACAAATCACGGCGGTCTGCAACGTCCTCTTTAAAGTACTACAGTACACCACAGAAGGCACAGCGTACTTGGCAGCCTTGGAGGTGGATATCAGGTCTCCTGCCTTTGCCGCATCTTGCTCGCCGCTATTTGTGAGAGCTGGATCTCGATCCTGAGCAAAGTGCGCGCAGACGGCAGAGTATTGGTCCCCGCCCGCTTCCATGGCGTCGACATTGTGCTTCGATTGGCCATGACGCGTTATGTATAAAAGCTTGCAGTTGATAGGGCCACCATGTTCCATGATGAGCCGTGTAAGGATGTCTTCCGGTGTGGCATCTGTGTGTATTGTTGGTGTCGGGCTGATATACTTGTGATTTAGGGTGATGACGTTCTTATCATTCTTATCGTTTTCAAGTCGGTTGAGGTCATTGAATTCTTTCACCACTCGAAATTGGTACGGCCGTTTAAGCGGTGGAGTTGGGTTCGGCCATAATGGGCCCATTGCGTAAAATGAAACCCCGGGGGTTTGTCTTTCCTCTGATGGCTCGCAATTGTCTTCGTGCCAACTGGGAAATATCGGTGCTCTCTTTGTCGCATGAGGATGTCATCCTCTCGCAACGCCACCAAGGTTGACATCGTGAACTTAAGTACTTTGCTCTGCCTGTGTCACGTTCGTCAAAAACGTCCCTGATAAGCAAAGAGGCAAGAATAAGCTTCTCGTACGTGTACCTAGCACTGTCACACCCATATAAGCATGTGATGACCTGCCATCACTGTCCCACAAGATTCGCAAATCGAAGCGTTCGTTGAGCTCTAGCGCTCCTGGATTGTCTCAGTTGATGCGTGGTCTCCGGTGTTTGATGTTGATGTTTTGCATGGCCTGTGCTAGGATCATGGAAGAGCATCCATACCGTGGTGACATCAAGCCCTTTGCTTTTTCCAGCTGAGCCTGCATTGGTGAACAGAGTATTTGGGCTTGCGAGTCTATTTGTAGAAAGGCGCCACCCAGGTGACTGGGTCTAGTCAAGTTTTGGGTTCGGCCTCCGGATCGGGCTTGTTCTCGTTCTACCCCCTATTGGATTAGGGTGTGTTCCTGTACGCTGGCTTGAGCATGCTCGCATTTTGCGCAGCTTTTCAATGTTGGCATACCTTAAGTTGCCCTACATTTTAAAAGTTCAAACTTACTTTGTTTTTTATGTAAGATAAGACCATTTCGAGGACATATGCTGGAAGGTGTGAATGTGCGACATAACTCGCGAAGTAGGTAGGGGAGACAACGTCAGTGATTGACCATATTGATGACATCCTAATCCGTCATGAAACTTGCAGTTTGACTTTTAGTCAGTCTTTGCTCCACACTGAACGCATGAATACAAGGGGTGGGAAATGTGGACGGTGCCTCAAGACATTCCAACCATAAACGGAAGCAAGTCCACCCAAGCCACCGAGGTCTCAGATCTTCCTCGAGCTAGTTCCTTGTCAATTCTTTATCTTCTGCCTGTTCCTCTGGGGGGTTATAAACGCCGCTGCACGATAGTCATGTTGCTTGCCATTGTTGATGGAGCTGTTGTCCTGATCTCGCCTAAAATTCACCATTTCCAAGTCAGCGTGTTTCCAGTCAAGCTCTATGGACGGGCCAAGATTTCCACTTGAGGTTGGCGAACTACGAGATTGGTCCTGCCAACCTTCGTGACCGCCAGGATACAGGAAGGTCATGCGTTGTTCAGCGGCGTGATCCGGCCCTTTTTGACCTGGAGCAGATAAAAGCATAAATCGTAACGAGCTTCCTCAGACCCGAACATGCAACGCTAGGTCGCCTTAACATCCTCCGGGATTAATGAAGGATCAGCAGCCAACTTCCGAAGTTGATAATCCTCAAAATCCTCGATTTGGGGCTTCAGCATCTCATCAAGGATGATCAGTTTGGTGATGGCGTGGCAAGCCAAGCACGTCTCGGGCGAGGCCACAGCCGGAAACCAAACAGTCAGTATAAGACCCACGAAATGCCTGGGGAGTTCTGTACGTCCACTGATGGACCTCTTAGAAGATATAGAGTGACGGCGATTCTGATCTTCTTCGGACACCATCTTTTGCATACAAGGGTGGTCCTCTCCCTCACCTGTGTTTAGGCGCGGGGTATAACATAAGCTCTCAAGTAAAGAGCGGCTGATCCATACTTGACGACCTCGGAAACCCAGAAAATTTCGCTGGAGAACGAATTTGCTTGTGAAATTCGGATCGCGGCAGTGTAAATCAGTGATCACATCGAAGCAGTGGGGCCTTGAGCACCATATCTTGCGCCTCCCGTCGGTCCTCCATAAATTCAGCGTCATAAGCAACAGGGTGCATCATCAAAGCTATTGAAACAGGTACATTCTCAAGACACTTCGCTTCTAAGGCGGCCTGATCCAGGCACTAGTCGTCAATCTTTTACTGTACATCATTGTTCTGTATCATGAGATCCGTTGGCTCCAGGTCAAACTTGCTGAACACGAATATGGTATCCAGGTCGATTTCATCGCAGACTTGATCATCAAGGCATGTTCATATTGTACGATCTTAACCAACAACACTTTTGTATGAACTGTACGAGTACCGCGAGTAGATGAAGAGGACTACGGTGCGCTGGCTCAGGTTGAGTTGCCCAAAGAGCTCGTAGATCATTCTTTTCGACAAAGGTTTGAGAGTGTGACTAGAGGCATCGCAGGATGTTTGACTAGCAGTGCCGCTGGTCTCGCTTCACTATAACCCCAGGCTGAAAGCAACAGCTCGGTG